CCAGATTACCACAAAAGTGAATATTTAGCATGTTTATTTATAAAACTGTCAATGCATGAATATTCAGAAACTTAAAAAGCATTAAATTTGTGATATTTTGTTACCGATTTAAAAGCTAAATGTCTCAATACTTTCCTTTTAACACAGCTGTTATGAAGGCAGATGAAAGTTAAATAATTACCTACTTGTTTTTTTTAATATTCAGTCAAATTAAAATTGTAGGCAGCTAAGATAGTTTGACATTCATTATATCTTCCAATAGAACAATCAAAAGTAATCTCATTTATTTGGAAATCTTCGATTATTGTGCACGACTTTCTCGCAAAGATTATCCATTTTGAATAAAAACATGTGTAAACAAATAATAATTTTCTATGATTATTGGTTCTTTGATTAAATAATTAAAATGAGCGGTGTGAATTAAAAATTTTTTAACGTTGTGACTTTTTTTCTATATGTATAGTCATTCACATAAATCAGATTCACATTTTTACCTTTCAAAAAAATGGTAAAGACCAAAGTTTTAGGAAATTTTCGTGCGATTACAAAGAAATATATAAACATATTTTGTTTTTTCTAGTGGGACACCCCATTTGATTTTTTATGCATTTATCTCTATCTTCTGATGATATATTACATGACATATATTTGCTTTGGCAGTTTGCACAATATTTTAGTTTATTTACTGTTCTCGCACATAGTCAAGATTGCCATGGAACCAATGTGCTGCTATGTTTTCCACTGTTAAATTTACTAAAGAATATTTAAATTCTCTCTTACAAAAAAAATATCATTTATCGTCCAATAATTATTATTGCCCATCACACTTAATTGATTATATTATATATCTGTACATTTCTTTGAAAACTTTGAGGATCTTTTTATTGTTTAATTCCATAATATATTCTCTTATCTTACAAAATTTGTAGAACTACTTAGCAATATTTGGGTATACTTTCGATATTTGCTCAATGCGACACTATCGTCCAAGAATTTGTAACAAGATGAAGCAATAGAAAAATTACGATACCATACTCTAATTTATTCATTTATTTTTTCGTCGATTTCATTAACATAAAAAATAGGTCGACTTTCGGCTCGATACCATTAATTTCACAAAGTGGCATATTTATCGCCTCAACATTAAACCTGTTTTTTTTTTAATAACCGCACCAGACAAAAATGCCCAACAAAAATCGAAACTGGTTGACATTTAACTGGAATAATGTCCAAGGCGAACCAAGATGCCGTAATTTTAACGTAACTTGCTTTTGTTTTAGCGTCAGCAATTAAATGTTGCAGAGATAAGAGATTAACATAAATGTGCATTAATTTGCTATATTTATAATCATATAGCGATCATCCTTCACATCTTTCGACAAGGATCTGATTGCTAGGAAAGAACGAGTAGGAAAACAACGGATTTGCAAGGTCGTACAATTACTCCAAGTATGTGGAACACCGACAATGTTAACGTCCTTTCTACTGCTCTTAAATAATTCGTGATTTAATAAATTACTGGTTAACGGTGTACCGGCTTTATACAGGATGTCCCAAAATTAAGGTACAAGATGTATCTTAGGCATTGTACGACTAAAAGTTTATAAGAACAAACAAATAAATTAAAAAATGGGTATTATTGTTATATTGTATGGTGTTAATAATTTTGTCGAAATCTCTGAAAAAAATTATGAAGCTTTCAAATTACAATCACTATAAACTTACTAGAGAACTATTTATCGCATTTTTCTACTACAAACAACAAATTTCTAAACACAAAAAGTTTTGTAACCTCATAGTTTTAGAGATCACATCACCTGCCATCTTGAATTCTGAAAGTGTAATGTTGACCTCAACAATTTCTTGTTTCTAGCACAAACAGAAGTAATGATTCATTTTTGTGTGATAGTACGAATATATGATTAATAATTAAAAAACCGACGTTATAAACCTTAAAATGTAAATATATACACTGTTAAAAACTTCTACTAGAGTAATTTTTTGTGAAACGCAATATTTTGGCATCAACCATAACCCTTTAAAATTAAAATTAAAATAAAATTTAAATGACAGTAATAAGGTTTTCTACATGGGACACCCTGTCTAAGCCAAGTAAAACATATTTATGGAATAATATTAATCTAAAATTAATCATGATATTCAAGGCTAAATGTAAAATATCTTTTTGTATAAACTATAAGATTGTTCTATTGGATACTGAAATTCATTTATTTTTTTGCAGTTGAATTACATAAGCGGTTACTTTAATATCTTAAAAAAAACACCTAGTAATTGTTGTCACATCCAATTCGCTTGTGTATAAAATATTATTATACAATAGAAATAGGAATTCTCGTAAACATAAAAAAGTGGCGCTATTGTTGTATTTTACCTTCCTTAGAAACATTTTATTGAAATAGATGCTTTTGATTCTATAAAGCAGTTTTAATTGTCTACACGGAAAAAACAAAATAATAAAATTTGAATATGTATACATTTTTTATCATATCTGAAAAAATAATAATTTACACAGCACTCAGAGCTCTCAATTTGAATAAAGAACAGAAAAAATATATCCTATTCTAATTTTACACATAAATAATGTTTAATTTATATTTATATATGCAATATACCTATATCTATTTCAGATGAAAAAATCTTATTAAACAGATGGAAATCCTACACCGTTGACCTTATAAATTTTATTATTCGCAAGTTTTTTTTTGTTTACTGCCAGCTGTTTATTTTTTAATAACATCACATATACTAGTACAATCCTCTGTCTTGTGTGTCCAAAACTAATAAAAAAGACTTTTTTTGTTAGCTTCTTTATATTATATGGGAAATACATTTGGTACTTTGGTTATGACTTTAATTATTATATATANTTTAATTTATATTTATATATGCAATATACCTATATCTATTTCAGATGAAAAAATCTTATTAAACGGATGGAAATTCTACATCGTTGACCTTATAAATTTTATTATTCGCAAGTTTTTTTTTGTTTACTGCCAGCTGTTTATTTTTTAATAACATCACATATACTAGTACATTCCTCTGTCTTGTGTGTCCAAAACCAATTCAAAAGACTTTTGTTGTTAGCTTCTTTATATTATATGGGAAATATCAATTGGTACTTTGGTTATGACTTTAATTATTATATATATATAATATGCGAATAATAAACTACCTTCACAATTTTTAAACTGAATATATTCCAATACGCCTGCTAATTAAAATTATCTGTAAACATTTTTTGTTCAAGTTGATTTTGTACAACCGACGAACTTAAAATACCAAACAACGAACATATTAAGGTTATGTTATTTGTAAACTATAAATTAATAACTGAAAATAACTGACGTGTTAATAAGTATACTTTCAAAAATCAAGTTGATATCGACTGGCAAGGTGAAAAATCCTTTTCAAATTACATATAACCTTGAATAGATGATGGGCTAATTTAATTTGAGTAGCCACATACGATTAAGTGAACCATTAAAAACGTTGCAATAGATTTTTTTATTTCTTAACACAACTCGACTAACGTAACATTGATAAATGGTCGTAAATTTAATACATAAATAATCAGTAACAAGGATACGCACTGTCCATTTTAATATATTTTTTATTTAAATTATTTGCAATCACCCATAAGCTGTCCTACAGGGTGATCGCGGTATAAGTGCCGTACATGCAATATGTAACAAAATACTGCAAAATAAACACAAAAGTCTTGCGAAACAAGGTCTTAAGTCTACATATTTAAGATATTTAAAAAGGTCCCTAAAATTTTTAAGTTTGATTTATCATTAAAATTATTGCTATTTGCTTCTAAAAACCGCATATAAAAATTTCTGTCTGTGTATGCCGTTAAAATTTTACATGCATTACTTTTTAGAAACACTAATTTGGTTGGCAATTTAACTTGCTTTTTTAACAATATCTAGTACGTGCTCTTTCAATTACACAAGAATTTAGTGTTCGTGTCCTTCAGGACAAGGAACAACACTGACAGGATCTAAAATACTAGAGTATGGTAAATGTCTATTTGGATAGGTACCATTTGCCTTTAATATGTCAGCTTTATAGACAAGAATTTTAAGATAATGTAAAATAAAGACACATAACATTACAAAATACTACATTATTATTTAAAAATTCCAATACGGCGTATATGAGAAGTAAACAAATGACTACTGCATCTTAGAGACATGGTTAAGTGAATAGCACTATTACCGGATATTGATACATCATCCCTTGTTATTATTAGTCATTACTACTTGTTGTTTAATATACTTTGTTTTCATGCATCTAATTAAGTAACGATATTTAGAAAGTAATTAGCAGCACGCAGATCCGTTCTCTTTCGATAATTTAAAACAATCAAACCTTCGACGAACGTAGCCGTAAATCAGTTTTGTTCCATTCAGAGCTAACGTAGATCTATTGTTGAAATAGCCAGGCTATTTATTGACTTCTGGCAGTCGTACAAGGATATACCATTCGCTTATTTGTGACAAAAAATTCAGATCAATAAGCAGTGGGGTCCGTAAGCTCAACCAACCAGTTGGTAGTTTGAAGGCGGTTTCAGATCAGTGTTTGACAGGGCCTCTGTAACATTTAAGATAAGGTGAAAGTAAAACTTGTACAACGAACGAACCAATATGTAGGTATTTAATAATGAGTTGTTCATTGTAAGGCATTTATTTCGTTCATTACATGTTCACCTTATTGTAGGATTGAACAGGGTCTAATGCCTATTTTCATTTATGACGTAAATATTTATTGCATTAAGATACAATAATTAATACTTAAAGTAAATTCCATTCTATTTTTTACACTTACAGCCTTTACCATCTTCTACGCTATCACCAAATTTTTTGTCGAAATTCTTATTGAATTATGATTCTTTATCAACTGATCTATCATAACTTTATATCACTGTCAACAAAGTAAATACAATATAACACCAACATTTTTCTTTTTTTCAGAAAACTGACACCGCAGAAGTAGACAAACCGCACCCTCCATCGCGAGGGAGGGGTAGGTCGAGGTTCACAGCCACCCCAGAATATACACAGATCAGCGAACCAACGAAGTCTCCCTCGGAGTCCACAACAAGACGCCTCATATCTAGAAAGCGGGTGAGCGAAACCACCGAGCGGAGGTCGACGAGACCGACCGAGAAGCCAGTCAAAACCTCCTATGAGGTGGACGAAGTAGTGAACGAATCACCGATAGATCCCTTCAGGAGGCAAAGCAAACCTAGAGTCTTAACTGAGAGTCACTTTGAATCTATACACGCTCCAAAGACGAAGCTGATAGATCCAATCCAGGCCATAAGCGAAGAACCATCACCATCACCAATATTAGAAGAGCTCTTCAGAACAGTGGAGAGTTCAACTCCTAATAGTGCAGAACCTGAAATTTCGTCAGCTCAACCTGAAACCACCAATGATATAAGCGGGTCCGCAGAAATAACAGATACAACATTTAAAAGTAATCTTTTAGATTTATCCAGCGAAACTTCCAAAAGCAATGAAATCACAAGGGAGTTTACGAAAAGCCAACCGATTACTACGCCAAAACCAACGGAAGGGAGAAGAGGGCAGAATGGTGCTAGACGAAACAACGTTAGATCTAGAACAAGTGTTTCTGATGTTTCTGAAGAGACTGCATCTCAAGCACCTAGAAGCAGGTCAAGGGTAAGACCTACAAGAAGACCTGAAGAAGCGCCAACACAAGCAGGTCAAGCAAGTCAAGTGACCGGTTCAAGAGCTACTCATCGTAGTTCTAGAAGACGGCCTGAAACGTCCACACAACATGCTGAAGCTTCTAAAAAGGGTCCCTCAGTGTTTGTTGCTGAAGAAACTCAAACTATATCTCGTTTGAGACCAGGTGAGATTCCTAATATATTGCTACAATAATTTTAACTGTTCCTACAATTGTTTTTCTCTAGGAAAAAGAAGTGGACCATCATCAGTTCCTGAAAAAATCTCCATAGACATACCCAATAGCAGGAGCAAGGATTCCAGCAGGAAAAGAACAGCTACTCCTGCAACCACAACAACAGCGAGAAATGAGGAGGATCCTAAGAAAAGAACTGGTTCTAGGTTCCAATCCAGAAACTCCGTATCACCTACGACTCCATCCGCTAGGTTCAGGTCTAGACCTAAAGACGTTATACCTACTATCAACGAATTCACTCCTCCAACAACATCTACCAAGGGAAGATTCCGTGCTCGAGACTTCCCTCCCATCATAGATGAGCAGAAGCTGGAGGTACTTCCTCTCTTCGAAACCGAGCCCAAAACGGTACGTCCAGTGAGTAAACCAAGATCTAGATCTAGAACAAGAAGCATCAATCACTCCCATGAAACCATACAGACTAGCGCAACTGAAAACGACTTGAAATTTACACCTAAAGCCAAGGAAATTCCCAGGTTTTCAGTAAGCAGAACCCAAACTGTCAATATAGAAACCAGAACAGAAACGTCAGTAAAGCGCAAAGTCGTAACTCGAGCTCCTATAGTGAAGGAGTCTGTAATTGCTGAAGTTAGTGAGGTAACTTCCAAGAGGACGGTTACCAGAAGGAAAAACGTTGCACTCAAAAACTCCATAAGCGCAAAAATCAAGACGGACAAACCGAAAGTTACTGTCAGCCAGGTGGTGACGAGTTCAAGGGGTAAAAAGAAGTCAGAGGTAAATTTGGGGGAGGTGAAGAAGTCGGGTGAAAATTCAGAAGAGGTTGATGATTCCGATAACTATCCTGAACCTTTTAAGGCTCTCATTCAGGCTAAGAAGAACAAAAAAGTAATGAATTAGTTGTCTTAGAGCATGCTTTAGTCTATTATTTGATATTTAATGCTATACAGCCCACTAACAGTGAAATATTCTACATTTAACCCTGCTGTTCTACTGAGTTTTTTTTGTGGATGTTTTTCATTAAAACTTGAATCAAATTCATAATGCTGGAACTAAAGCATGAGTTGTAATAAATATACAGGGTGTAGAGATCGTAATGATGGCCATATTTGTACAGCGACTACCTATGACATTTTGAAATATATCACCAAGTTTGTTTTTCAAATTCTATTGTAAAAACTGATTTTCTTTGGTTCTTCATAATATCACAAATCATATGTCACGGCTTCATTTTATTAGATTTATTTTAGTTTCCAGTTTATTGGTTTATGAGGTGTCAATAATACGGGAGTAATTTTGAGACTTTCTGCGTTAAATATTAGTTTTTCGGTATGGTGTGTTTCTGTGTCTTCATTGTTAAAATTCTGTGCGATATCACAGCACAAGCAGTTATGAGGCACTAAAAGAAGAATAGAAAAAAAATTGCGCTATTACAACCCATGTTCAGTTTTATCAGCGAGCATTTATTTGCAGCAGGAACCGATTTGCAAATGAATCATTATTATTTAGCTATGTAATAATCCGAACAGTAGCACGGTGAGGATTAAATGAACGTATTTTAGCCTAATCTATACAGCCTGTTTTTTATTTGTCACCGTACCCACCAAATTATTCATTGTTCGGGTTATGAATGAAACCGTCACCTGCAGCAACACTAGGCCGTGAATTTCTAACAATGACTGCGATGTTTCAGGAGTCAAGGCCATCCGCGCGTCCTCAAACGTCGGTTCCCACCATCACGAGCATCGTGACTACTTCTACGGCTCCGTCCACCACTTCTGTGTCATCGACAACTGCGGATAAAGAGGTGAGCATCAAATGGACGATCTTGATCTTATAGCAGCTTCAGTGCTAATGTATTCTATTGCGGAACGCGTATTTTGACTTATGCAAATTGTTGTTTTGCTAAGATTTTGTTTATTCATTTGTGTCCCATTTGTACTAAAAAAAACTGGGCGGTAAGTTCCTCTTGGAAAAATAGTGAGAGTTGTTTTTTTCACTAACGTTGCATTTTCAAGTTACAGGGTGTTCCATTATCTTTAAATCTGCTAAAAATTAAGATATCAAAATTTGTATACGAATAAATATCAACTATGTCTTAAGAAAACCGTGGAAACCATTTCATTCCCAATAGCAGTGGCGTGGGTGCAGGTAGTATGAAGGGTATAATTGAAGGAAAAATATGTTAAAAGTCAAAACATCCTTACCGCTTATCGCTTATCAAGGCGATATGCTGGTCGATAACTTCATCATCTTAGTATTTTTGCTGCAATTGAACTGAGTTTTTGAAAAAAAAACGTACTTTTTAAATTTATATTAGAGAACACGCTCGTCCACAATCTCTAAAGATGTGGGAGAAGCTGTTGTAAATTCTGTTGAAGAAAATCCACAAAAATTGATTCTGAATTCAACGTGTCAAGGTCTACAGTCCATAGAAAATTTTACTCCAGGACAACATTGTTAAATGGATGGATTGGTTGAAATGGAGTAATAAATCTACACAACATCCATGAATGGAGTGATAATAATTCAACGGCAACAATTATGTACCGTTTCTAATATCAATTTGCTATTAATGTATAGTATAGGCTAGAATTATTATCAGTGATCATTTATTAGAACCTGATGACGTTAAATGGTGTTCAATATCTAAGAACATATTTTGCCAGACCTATTAGATGTGATATTGAATGTTGGAAGAGATCTTTGGTTTATGTATGATGTTCCACCATCACATTATAAGCGGACGTGGGCAAGATGCAGCTATGAATTGGCCTGCCGGATTACCCGACCTGACCTTTTAAGTTGGAGTCATATTAGAAATTTGTTAATAATCTGTACTACAGAAGAACATAATAAAGTAAGAGATAGAAAAAGATAGTACTAATAATGACTGCTAAAATAAATTGAGTGATTAACTGCAGTTAAATTGCTCATAAGTATATGCATAACCTTCACCAACTTTATTCAATTCACAAAAAACTTTATTTCCAAGTTAAGTTGTTGATTTTTTCGCCTCGATTTGCATTTCACATACGCTGAGAACTAAACTGGCTGCCATGTTGTTAGACTTGTCTAGATTTCTTGACCCTCGCTGTAAATTTAATGTAACAACTTTTAAAAGAGAAAGTTGACTAGTAATTGCGGTTACCGACGTTTATTACAATAATTTAGAATTTATGCCCGATAATAATAATTTCACGGGACATTGTCAGTTTGCGTAGTTATGTACGTCGACATACGCAACCTTAAAACGGCCGGAGATTTCATTTTGTTAGGCGATTAGTTTCAGGTAATTCGTGCTTCCTTGTGGCTGAGGAAGTTGTCAAGTTTGAAGGTATTATATAAACAAACCATCACCTTCTAAAATCTTTAGGTACAGTAAATTATTAGTTATGTTCATTCGAAAATATTAAATTGAACAAATGAAGAAAGCGATAAATAAATAACATTTTGTATGCGTCAAGACATGTACATTGTACAATGTACATACCGAATTTTCTAATTTTAAAGTTCTCTGATCATCTCACGAGGAAACGTTTTGGTTAAAAAATTGCCTTACATCGGAAGTGTGGTGGAACCATAATGCAAAAAGCAACATCAACCATCCTCCAAAAGGATTTGTAGTTCATTTTATAAAAACTGCAAAAAATGGACAGAAAGAGGAAAACAAATCGTTGACTATGACATATCCTGTTAGAATAACTCTTTACATAGAACCGAGATGTCTCTATAAAATTTTGAAGACATTCCCCGTAAATTAAAATCAAGTTCACTATTATTGTTTGCCATTTTGGCAAAGATTTTCATCATTATTCAGTGAAAAAGTCAAAAAGGGTGTTAAAACATTGCAATAGTAAACATAATTTCTATAATAAGCTCGCACTCACCTAAATTAATGGCAATTCACCAAAAATTCATACCGGGACTTAGAATAAAAGCGGTTACTAAAATGTCATAGAGCAAAGACACTAGAAATGACAACAAGCACCTCGCGGAAGTACGAATGTATAATTAATCATTACAAAATCAGTTTCACAAATCTCAGTAATTTCAAATGTGAATATCTCTGTTGCTATAAAACTTTTATTAGAGTCATTTTCTGTGAAACGCATGATTTTGACATTAGCTACTTCAAGGGCGGGCGTCGCCAAGGGAGGGCAGCTGTCCCCCCCCCCCAGAAATTCGAAAAAAGTACAAAAATTTTGTTAAGAAAATATTTGTTCGGACATTTTTAATAAAATATTTTATTTACTTAAACTTTAATTTTGAAAATTAATACACTACTTTATTATTTTTAAAAACAATTGTAATAAATAAATTAGTATGTATATCTGTTGACATTGGCTGCCGACACCCTTGAGCTGCTTGTATAATCCTTTCAATTAAATTCTTTCTTCCTATAACACCCTGTACATATCGAAAAGGCTAGTAATGTTAGTTTTTCTCTACGTTTAAAATATTAGATACTAACAAATATTAGATACTAATTTAATTTTTTAATCGCTGTGTAAAGACGAACTTTTTCTCTAACAAATTCCAAACCTAAAATTACTCAACGTGGTGAATTACGTTCTATAGTTTGTTAGAAAAAAATAAATTGGAAAAAAAGTAACTCATATCTGGAATAGGAATTTTCATGTTATGAGAAATTTTGAAAAAAGTATTCACGCATTCTCTTCTCAAAATTTTGTAGAATGAAAAATAAAATAACAGTAATAAGATGAATGTGTAATGCGACATTGTGTATATGTACGTGGACTGGAAAACTATCTTTCATCTATAGTAGGATCATATTCCATGCAAAGTAATAAACCATTGCCTGTTAAGGGATCCAGTGTAATACAGTTTTAAGGAGTTTAGAAATTGAATAATTTCTTAACGCATTCTGAAGGGATAAAGGGATCAGTTCACGTTTGGCACCGTTGTTCCTACAAAAATTCCTTTGTTCTCATAAACTATTTATTTTAAATGTAATTTATTATAAATCCAATTTGTTTTTTAAATTCCACATATGTACTACATTTTACCTCTGTACGCGCCACTTTTGTTTACTTGTTTTTTGGCGGCTGTCTTTGATTTACAACCAAGCTCGCCAGCTTAGTATTTGACGTATAACTGACCACTTCGTACACTCGATGCACCTGGGCGACTACATTTACTACCAGAACACAATGCGTATGCAGCGTTATTTCAGTTTTAACATTCAATTTCATTTCAAATTTGAAATGGTTCATCTTACGCCTCCTAAAAATGATGACACGATTTTCCTTTGATAAAAGACCGACAATTTTTTGCTCTACTTTGCATCGAATACAATCCTACTATAGATCATATCATTTACTTCCCTCTTTTTTCTCCATTTCATTGATTTCCTATCCTACCTCTTCTTCTGTTCTTTAAGATCCTATTTAATAACCTTCATTTTCCATCTTTTCTATCCATATTTTTATCCATCTTATTATTTTATTTCAGGATGATATTCTCGATAATGAACTGGATCCAAAACCTTCTTCCACCACCACCTCCACCACCACATCGAAATCGTCGACTAGACCCTCAAGGAAACGGTTCTCACTCACCACGAAATATCCCGAGTCGACAACTACGACCACCACCACCAAGAAACCGACATTTCCACCAAGGAAATCCGCCAAGGTGGTGAGGTCTACTGTTCAACCGACGACTACAACAACGTCCCCGAAGGAACACAGGTTCCATGCGAAATTCAGTTCCACTTTGGCTCCTTTCGTCAGGACCGAGAGTCCTGTGAAGGTAGGAAGGGGCACGCTTCCTCCAAGGGGGTTGTATAGCAGCAGAAAGAATAAGGAGGACAAAGGGGAGGTCAAGGATAAGTCTAGGAAGGGACTGGTAGAATCCAGTGTGCAGTCCACACAGGTAACAAATATTTGTTTCCTTCCCATGTACTTTTTGATTTCTCTGTAAATACTTATAAAAGTCAGCTTTTATAAAATGTTTCGTCGGAATTTATTAAAATAATATTTTAATGTAGAGATGATAACATTTTATGGGAAGCTTCGAAGGTTTAGAATTAAAAACTTTCATTTTGCTAAATTGACAGTGCCAACAACGTCCAATATATAGCTAGTTGTTTATCTAAATGCAAATGTCTTACATTTTGTACCTCACTTTTTGTATCATTCTAAATAAAATTACGTGCTTTAGTAAATTTTTCAAGAGAGACAAAAAAATGGCACAGACAGCCATTTACCGATATCAGAAAAATTATATTATTGGATCTTTTTTTCTGGGGTGGGCACCGGGCTTTCTGGGGTGAGCCATGCACACCCCTGCTCCCCCCTATCGCTCATGGCGATTGGAATAGCATTTTTTTAGTGTTATATAATTTTTATGTTCAATTTAATTTTAAATGGGCTATAACATCATAAATTTGACATTTTAATTTTGGTCTTAAGATAAGAAAATAGCATTTTCGATTCACTTTCGCAATGATTAAGCCATGGGAAAATCCTTATTTCCATATATTATGAGTAGAAGAAGCACTTTACACAAATTTTAAACACTACGAACAAAAAAATGGAAACGACACAATTGGTAGTTGAATTTAAATTTATAAATTGCTCCAAATATAGAAAATAATATTTCCTAAGTACTAGAAATAACTTATGCTTGAAAAGTGAAACTACAATGTAATATTTAAACTGTCTGTATACTAAGCACATTGTAATTACAGTTATTTAATATAATTTATGTTATTATTACATAAATAAATAATTTGGTTATTTAAATCAAGTGTAATTATCTATAACCGCAATTTAAACATAACGTTGCGAAAATATGCGGTATACGACTGTTTCCTACGAATTTATTGCATCTCTTTTCTCAGTCAGCTTCTAAGAAAGCAAATTATCCAACATTGAATATACAATTTTCTATAGGTATCTTTAAAATGTACTAACTAGTTCTTCTATCTAATAAATATACCTATACAGGGTCGGAAAGTCCTCATGGTTCATCGGATGTTACGTGAGAGCGATAAAGAAAGTCATAGAAATCTGTACGACAGAGAAAGATGGCTATAATGAAAGCATCTAATAGTCACCGCCCATTTCACCCTTCCACAAATAAGATCCACTTCTTATTTGTGGAAGGGCGAAATGGGCGGTGACTATTAGACGCCTTCATTATAGCCATCTTCCTCTATCTCACGGATTTCTACGACTTACTTTATCGCTCTCACGTAACGGCCGATGAACCATGGGGACTTTCCGACCCTGTATGTACATACAAGGTCAATCATTTTACCAAACACTGTACAAAAAGGACATAACTATAGATTTTGCGTCTTCCTCCAAGCGGCCATCTCTCGGCTATCTATCAAATCAAACAGCGCGCTGCTACTCGCTTAGTCTAGCGTACTGTATGCAATAATAAATATCTATCCAGGAAAATGAAACTAAATATTTTTCCACTACAGGTTGTCTTTGTCAGCCACTATTAATTAGTTATTATCATCCTAGGTTTCAAAATCCTTCTCTCCTCAGAAAAAATCCAGCCGGTTCAGTTCCAAATACCGTACCGACATCTCTGCGCGAGGTTCAACATCTCGATCTACAACGACTGCTCCAGTGTACATTCCTACCATACCGACCGCCGCATATGTGCCAACGGTACCTACTATTAGGCCCCCTAGATCTTCCACCACGGTAAGTACCTAAATTTGAATATTTTGAAATTGGTATTTGAAATATATGTATATGAGTGTGTTAAGTAGTACCGCTTGGAGAAAATTTGTGATGAAATATTTTAGGTTTCAGGGCAAACGTCTTGTACAAAATGCGCTAGCTGTTAGAAAAACCTTATTCTGTTACATAAAGTAAATACAGTTTTATTAAAGTCATATTAATTTTGAAACTGATATTTGCTGATTTTTTGAAGCACATATATTTCGTAGTTTGAAAAAGAGAGTAGGGCGCGGCTAGTTGAAAATACAGAGAAATATTTATTGTTTATATAACACTCTTCATTCAATGTTGGAACAGCTAACTTTGTATATGATAATTTTAATTTCAACAATTATCTTCTAGAGTTGAGAAATTTCGATGCATTAACAATAACCACGGTGATCAACAAATATATCTAGTTACTATACACTATTAGTTTCTCATATAATTCTGCGTATACTGAAGGTCTCAGAAAAAAAAATCTCTTTAGTGCAATTACTTTTGCCATTAATTTGTTGCTTAATAAGAGCCACTTCGGTAATCGATTTTACAAGTTTTGCTGGCCTACTTTTTAAATTGAATTCAGCAGTTGCTTAAATGCACTCGCGAGTGAGTCGGCAAAGTAAGTGGGCGGATAATACTGTTTTAAGTATTATAAAATAAATTAATATAGTTATTATATGATAAACGTTTTTTTGGTACCTGAAATTATATAATTAACATCCGTTAAAATAGTTTAAAAAATGGATTGAAATCCAGCGAAATTACTTATTAGAAAATTAACAGTATTAATGGTATATTTAGCCTTGGAGTATAGATAGTTGCATAATAACATACTTAAAATGTTTCCTCATTCTTTCTAATTAGTGAGCAATTGTATGTGACAGCAAAAGTTTTAAATTTGGACCGACGAAGAACACTAAAAGAAAAAGAATAACTACACCTTTTACAGAGTGAGCTTTAGAGTTGAAAATAACATGTATCTGTTATAGTAATATCCCAGCCTAGAGAATCTAAGCTGTGGTAATATTGAAGGTACCTCTCGTAGAGATTTCTGTAATTAAAAAAATGTTCCATTTCATTTATTTCTACTTTTATTTACTTAAAATCACTTTATTACCTATTGGTATGGTTCTTTATATTCTTCATTTTATCTATTCTCTGTATTTTCTCTAATCACTTTTTTTGATGAGTTCTTTTTAGCGTCTTTGTTGTATTCGTTTGGAGCTAAACTGTTCAAGAATAAAAAAAAAACAGGAACTTACATCAGTTTTACAAAACACAAATTTACAATCTTATTGCAATGAAGTTGTCCCTTTTGATATATCTTTTTGTGCAGGTATTAATGTGCCTCGCCCAACTTTTATTTTTGACAAATTGTTGTGACTAAAACCCATTACATTTTTATTGTATTTAATTATTTAGTTGAAAACCGATTCTAGTGTAGGACTACTACAGTGTGTGTGTACTAAGTTTAAATATTTTACGAAAATCAAATGTTAAAGGACCAAGAAGAAAGATAAGTGTATTTCTCATATTCTACTTGACTACTTGGCTTTCGACCCGATTTAATCGTCTTTTATTTTTAGGAGGACGAAATGACTAGACCAGGTACAAGTACTGACAGCATTGGAACAAAACTATCATAAACGAAATTCGACTGAAATGGACAGAAATGATACTAGAGTTAAATTAAATACACTACTGCAGACAACTGAAGTTGGATGAACCGACTAAGATGTGTTGTTTAGTAAAAAATTAATAAGGCACCAAAATCGCTAAAGAAGTTGCCTACAAACTTTGGCCTTGGGGTATATTAATTTGATTTTCATCATCTACAAAGTAATGGGTCAAAATTTCTATTCTAGTGTACTTATAAAAATAAATATAACTTTATAATTCACTTACTTCTAGTACGACCAAGAAGCTGTTCTATGTGGTCAAGAACCAACGTATTTAATATATATAAAAAATTAGTTTGAAATCATCAACGATTTAAGCACAATTAGCGTTGTAGATAATATGCCTAATTCAATCTTAAATCTATAGATTTCCATTTTTAGTTCTCTATCCTCCCAAGGCCTATATCTTCGAAATCTTTGTATAAAAATGCTTACTAAGTATAAATTATTTTGTTAGCAGAATTAAAAACATATTTTGGATAACATCTTCCAATCCACTTAATCCATAACAAAGTTATGGCGAAAAAAAAAACAAGAGCAGCTCCTATGACACTGGGAAACGCCAAAAATACAGATCAAAACAGAAATTTAGTACAATTATTACAAACAATAATAATGATTGACGTTAACGCTATTCGATTTATAATACCAATGACGTCACTCGGCGGAAGTGCCACGAGGGGATCTGCAATTTGTAGCTTGATTTGTAGGCAATTTCCTGCTTTAGCGATCTTGGTAAAGCACACGTGTAAAAAGTAACTTTATTGCATTTACACATTTATTTTTTAAAAACACTGCCTCCGCTCTGTTTTTAACCAAACCGTTTTGTGCGAAAAGGAATAACTTTTTACACTTGCATACTGTATATCTTAAATGACAATAGAAACATTGAAGTGACTTAACTAAATTTACTTTATTAAAGACTATACTAATTACTACTATAGAATATCTTTTCTTCTAAGATTTTAACTTCGTTTAGTCATTAACAAATATTCTCGTAATAATAGGGGACTTTAATGCAAACAGGTTGTGACCGAAAAAAGACATAAATCATTATCAAACGAAACTAATGGTTCTAATACATTTCATCGTAGTACATTTTCTAAAAATGCAGTTAACAAATATAACAAATATGGAGAAATAATAACAGTTATAATAAAAATATAAAAAAGTGGAAAGTGAGATTAAAATATTAACAGTATACTCAATGAGTACACGCGACTTTATTCAAAATTTAACGATAGATTATAACACCGTAACGTATAGTTCTCACTATATATAATCATTCCACTAATTTTTCTAATTTCGGGAAGAAAAACGTCCACCAAAAATAACACAAGCATCTAAGAATACTTTCACGTACACAAAGGTGAAGCCCATTAAAAAATAATAAAATAGTACGCCTTAGCCTTAAACTAAGAACTAATTCATCTCTGCTTAAGGAATTCGTTTGGTCGGAAGACGCGATTGACTACAACTGGCCTTTTTCACGGTTATACTGAAGAATTTCCCGTTCTTCTCAACACCTACTTCATTCTATCTACTCTGCTAAGAACCTTCCTTACACTGAGCACCCTTCTTATAATAATACCACCATTCTAGCACGTCAAAGTCCAAAATCGGCAACACGAAATTACAAATTTTAATTTAAGGAAATGATGAGACTGAAATTAGGCGCATTTCTCGTGCTGGTTTTGGATTTTTGATTTTGATCATATTTTGGTGATGGGTCTAGACAGTAAGTTTGGCAGGGCCGGCTTTTCAGGTCTTTTAGCGAGAATTACAGTGATTAAAAGACACAGATATATTCTTTTGCGCTACTCAAAATTCTATGAAGTAGTACAGTATAAATCACAAAAATTGTTCGGTAGACTGAGAGCCGGTCCTGTAAAACTGTATAATTATACTTAGTCTGGCTTATTTTAAGGATTCTATTAATATATATGTTAATATAAAGCCGAATATAATATTATACTGATGCTATTTTCTCTACCGTCAGTTCTAGGTACAATTTAAATATACGCATACACAAGCATAGGAAAAAATGTATTTTTGATATAATGATTAGTGCTTACGTCGCTGCCAGTAAGAAAAGTATAAATATATATTATTTAGTTATGGAAAAGTATGGAGGGTTTGTATGTTGTTACCTAGGCTAGGTGTACTTTACTTAAATACATTACGTTTCACCAACTCTTTCTGGGATTTTTAGCCCTACACTGTTACTAGGCTACACGTACAAACTACACCACTTTATTTTTTATATTCATATACCTTAGGTTTAAGATAAAGGTGTACTATTTTATTTTTTATACTGTTTATACACTCTACAAATAAAAGCAATCCACATCACACTGGTCTTATTTATTTACATAAATCTGTACATAAATTGTATTATACAAAACTGCACGCCAAATGCATACTATTAACCAAACTGCACAGTAGTTAGGGCATTAGTTATAATATAGGGTGTCACAATTAAAATAATCGCTAGATTTTTTTTTAGTTTTGGGATTATTTAGAACATCGCTTAATCCACTACTGATTTTAGTAACGAATATTAAATAAAATCTAATAACTGGGGTAGTTGTGACACCCTGTATAGTATTGTCATATAATTTTGATAATACGAGTATTTGTTTTGATATTCACTGCTACGCCCATTGCACCAATGTAGTTAAGTTAATTATGTTAATTAATTTTACTAACAACTCATCAAATTTCAATGACACTTTTTTGGAAATTAGCGAGGATAACCTTTCATTTTTGAGTAAAACCTGTGCATATATGTATTTATATTTTTTTCTGCAGAAAAGAGTGAAAGATTCTAATGCACTAAAATAATATTTTCAATTTAATTTTTTACATATATTTTAATTTTGGTATAAAGAATAATTTGGTAGAAAAAAGATTCAAGCCTAAATAGAAACAAACCTCGTTCAGTTACAAGATGTCCCTTGTTGTACATATCATACTTTATCTAGTGATAATAAACTCAAAATAAGAAGAAATATTCATATAAACATAGTTCGTATACAGACCGCTTTGTTTTCGAAATAGAGTATTATAATTAAAAAAATATAAATCACAATTATTTGAACAACCCATAAAATATTTGGCGTAGATTGATGAAACTTGGGGTAATGACAACTAATTATGGATAAATATTTGCTGAATTGCAATACAAATCCATCAACCAGTGACGGAGATGCTGGGAGACAACATTAACAACCCAGAATTTCGACGTCACTAAATATTTTGGAAACTGGATAAGTGTGTTTAATTTCATTTGGTGTTTCTAAGACAAATACGTATTGTATTTTAATCAATAATCGAACCAATTTTGAATAACCATTATTTTTTAAAATTTGAGGAAAGGTATAGTTGAATAAATCGAAAATAACAGCAAGTATAGAAAAGATTTGTAGTGAATTTTAGATATAATGTACCTAATTATGAAAAATGCAAAAAAAATCATTGACGTAGGAACTTAACAATTTCTGAAGGATAAGCCCCTTAAAAAATAAAAAATAACTTGCCAATATATTTTTAACTTCTATTTAAAATTCTCCAATAAAAAAATTCTTATAATTTTTGAAAATTTATTAAACAAAGACTTGGAGTTATTTTCGATGTAGTGAAACCTTACTTTAGATATAAAAATAAAAACTCGAAAATGGCTGTTTTTTTTATAAAACCCAAATTAAATTCTCTTATCTATTTTCCAAACTGTTGAATGGCGTTAAAATTAAGAAATTCTTAGTAGCGGTATCTCCCAACATCTCCGCGACTGGTTGCCAGACTTGTGTTGCACTTCGACAAATATTTGCCTGTAATCAATTAAGAAGGTTTATCTGATTTGGAATTGACGAACAAATATTCATAAAAAAATTAATATAAGCCTATTAATATGAAGAAAATCCTCAAAAAAAATTATGACTAGTTTGGATACCTAAGAGACGAGATATTAATAAAATGTTTTTTCACGATTTAGTACAGTGTCTTATGAGAATGCAGATTTTTTGGGTCTTTCCACTTAGAATGCGCAACAATTGACGAACAGTTTCCACAGCAATTTGTATAAATAGGAAACCGATATCTAAGGAACCGTATGACAGCTAGTGGAAATCGATTAGGTACTTGACTAACTTATCCTCCATATGCATGATAGCGGCAACACCGCGGTCTCGACGTAGCGTATTATTTGAAATTCGCAGGTGTCCAAACAAACAGAATAATCGAACGGGAATTACTACTTTAGTCACTAGCTAATCTACAGTAACTTTCGTTAGACTTNTCGTTGACTAACTTATCCTCCATATGCATGATAGCGGCAACACCGCGGTCTCGACGTAGCGTATTATTTGAAATTCGCAGGTGTCCAAACAAACAGAATAATCGAACGGGAATTACTACTTTAATCACTAGCAAATCTACAGAAACTTTCGTTAGACTTTAGACATACCTCCGTACCCGATAAACCTCCTTAAGTTATTAACCTAAGCTGCATCAGTTTATATCAAGCACCTTATAAGATGTTTAAATAAATTTATTGTCCTTTTTTATTTTTAACGCTCTGTGTCCCGGAAACAAAGCGATCTACGAAAGAAATTTCTGTCTTATTGTGATTATGTATTTCCATCACTGAGTAATGGTTGGCTCTTATAATTTTGGATATCCTGTAAAATTTGATATTATAATCGCTGCCAAAAATATTGGTTATCCACGAACAAGCTAACAATTTTTGGGAAAAGTTTCTTTTGTTGTGTTGTTAGTGTAGTCTGTATACCAATGCAGGAAACAATTGTAAGCTGTACGAAAAACTTTGCAGGTAAATTCAGGAGCAGGATCGAAGGACGTAGACTTAGGACTAGAGATAATCTCGTTCGACGATCCGGTAAACACCGTCCCGTCTGCGAACCTTATCAACGAAGAATTCATTTCTTCCTCCACCGAAAACGCCCTTAAAAATCCCATCTCTTTGGTAACTACAACTACACTATCATATTTACATGCCAAATAACCAATTTCTCTTCCGAAGGTAAAGGAGGCCACCACGGAAAAGCCAGTTTCGATAATCGAAAGGATAATAAATTCTATAACGGCTATGACGACGACCACACCTCCAGACACTTCTAAACAAACCTTCTCGGCGAGCACGACCGAGTCGAATTCGGCCATCTTAAAACTAGCGCCAAAAAAATCGACCAAAAAAGACAAGACGCTACCCGACGAGACCTCACAGACCTATCCCATCGGCACAGTCGCCTTGACCACTGAAAAACCCACGACAATCATTGAAAGAATCCTCAGTTCTCTCTCTGCCATTCAGGCCACTGACGATACAAATTCAAATCAAGTAGGTAAAGATTTTAATACTATTAGTTCTCCCTCCACCACGCCTGTATCTAAAGTGACTAAGTCTTCCACCAGTAGAACCACACTTCCTGCACAAATAAGCACGTCTATAAATCCTCTGAGCGTTCTGGACGAATTATCCCCAGACCAAGTGTTACAAAAACGCACCATCGGCAAACTATTGGCCATTCTCAACGGGCTACTTGCCACCACAGAGTCAGCGCAAAAGCTTGTCGTTGTTACACCGAAAACTTCCAACTTTGTTACTGGTGTAGCTGTCGTGGCATCTAGTACGACCACTCCTGCTCCTACTGATACTTCTGACACCGTTCCAACTTCTGTAACAATTACTCCTCAAACTCCTACAGTCACATCTACTGAATCTCCTGATACCTCTAATACCATTACAGTTTCCCCGGTCACAACTACAACTGTTCCTGATACACCATCTGCTCTGCCCCTCACAATTCCACAATTATTTACATCTCCAGCCAATCTCCCGTCATTACAAGATAGTATCACCACTACTACGTCCGGAAGTCCCATGATTGGTAGTAGACTAGCAGATATTAGTACCACAGCTCAATCACAAATGGCTACTACTCCTTCTACACTTCCCACTACTGAAACCATTGCGATGACAGCAACGACAGAAGCCTCCGTTGGATCAACTCAAACGGAGGCTACTAGTCAAACCGTGACTCAAACATCGAGCGATATGATGGCTTCTACACAAACTGAGGCTACTGTACCAACAACAGTACCTTCAACAAATCTCCCATCAGCTCAGCAAGATGATTCTACTGTTACACCGCTGCCATTATCACTCGATGATACGGTCACTAGTTCTATTACAGAAACCACGACAAGCAACACGTTCCCAACTACAGCGGAGGCCGGTATAACTGGTACCACCGACATAGAAACACTTACCACTTTTCTCTCAACCATTCCGACACTACAGAATTTTGAAGTAAGTCCTGGAAGTGTATCTGTATTCTCTGCTAACGATATTTCTAATTTAATAACTCCGGACGACCTCTTCAGTACTGTTACTATTGCTGGAAGATCTAATTTCGATTTAACTGCCACTACTGACAGTACTACTACCGAATCTGGTACTACGGAAGGCAGCACTGATGCGATGATTACCACACAAATGCCGGAAATGGCTACCGCGGTGCAAAGTACTACTGTCTCAAACGATGGTACCACGGAAGGTAGTACTGTAATGACTCAAGCTGGTAGTACGGGTAATGATATGCAAAGCACTACGGAAATAATTCAGAGTAGTTCCACTGCCGGTACTACCATTCAAGCCAGTGCTACCTCAAGTAGTACTCTTCAAGATAGTACTACCCCAGGTAGTACCGTTCAAGATAGTACTACCCCAATCATCACCGTTCAAAATAGTACTACCTCAGGCACTGCCGTTCAAGATAGTACTACTCCAGGTACTACCGTTCAAGATAGTACAACTGTGCAGGCTAACGCACTCTCAGCTAGTGTCGTTGAAAATGTGACTGCCGAAAGCAGTACCGCTCAGAGTAGTCCTGTCGAAAGTAGTACCAGTTCTTCCCCCAGTACCTCCGCCCCCAGTCCGTCTAGTACCACCAATGCAACGACTAATGATACATCTAATCAACCATCAAATAATATCTCATTGGCTAACCGTTCTGGGAGGTTGCTAAACATTGTTCAGGATCCCATCCAGAACAGCATCGACGTTTCGACTCCCTCCACTACCACCTCTACTACCCCTGACTATTTTGTTTTCGCTGTACTAAATAACAATACCATTTTGCGCAAGAAGCCCCCTACCATACCGAATAAAGATACTCCGTACGTGATAGTTGGGCTGTTCCCTAACAACACAGTAGTTAGAAAGTTTCCAAATGGTACCCTTGTTCCGATGGAACAAATAATAAGGGTAAGAGGATTCGATACCCGCGAAAACCCTCCACCTTTGCCAGAAATAACCAGTAACCAAGTAACAAACGACCCTGGAAGTTCACAGGATAATAAAAATGTCCAAACGGTATTCACAGTCAATAACTTTTTGGTTGAGGAGCTTTGTCAGCTTCTTCAGTTGGTCACTCGAGTTCCGTACGAAAGTTTTGCGTCACTGCTTCACACCGTTGCACTTGTTTACCATTTTGTGAATAATTTTGTGTATATATCAGTTTTTGTTTTGCTAGAGAGGTGTTGGGTTATGCACGCTAACATGGGGCTATCACTACTGCCATTTTTTTCAAATTTGGAGCTCGAGTGACATAAAATACAGAAATGGTTGTGTTAAGACAACGATAAAGTAACACAGGAGGTCTCTGTATATAATGTAATATACACGTTTCTTGATCATTTTTGTACATATACCATTGCATACAGTCACAAATATACATTACTAGTGTCGAGTACTCAAACATTAACCACCTTTTAGTACCTTACAATATTTATTATAGTTGAAATTGCTTTTAGATATTTTTAAGTATGTTGTACGTATAACTCCATACTAGGCGTTTGTAAATTTCCGTTTGCCATTTCTCTATTTTAGTACCCAACCAGTAATATCAACTGCTCTAAAAAACATTAATACCGGGCCTGCGTAGTATCCAGAAGACTCTTTTACCAAACGCATATTTGTACATTTTTTTGTAGGTCGATGAAAACACGGTACCAACAGTAGACGCAAACCCATTATCTCTGGATAATGACAGTAGCACGAATACCGTTCCTGAGACAAGTACCAGCACCACTCAGGGTCTCACCACAAGTACTACTAGCACAACACCCTCACAAAGTACTACGAGTACTAGCACTACCACCACAACTGTCCCCCAAACAGAAAGTGATACCATTGCGATTAACACGGCGGAAAGTAGTACGGTGTCTGAAAGTAGTATTAGTACAGTAGATAGCACCACCGTAGGTCGTATCACTAACGCGGCCACCATCACCACCGCGGCTAGTACAGTGCCGAACAGCACGTCGGCACCCAGTACTACCATCGGTACTACCACAGAAAGTAGTACCAGTCCAGATCCCACGCTGCCGACGCTATCCGAACTCTTAAATGGAAGAACGCTAGAGGCGCTAAATAGCATTATAAACTTTACCAACACCAACAACAATTCAAACACCAATTATAAGACATTACAAGTTAACCAGGTAAGGATTTCGGGACAGGGTGCTGGTAGTGGACATTTTGGGGAAGCATGAATGGAGGTACAAAGAAATTGTGATAGGAATTTATGAAAAATTAAATTAAACCTAATTAGTAAGGCGAATTAGTTTATTTGAAGATGAAATTTTAATAATATGTCATAAAAAAGGTACGAAATTATACAGTGTGTTAATGATATGTTCTTCCAAACTTTGACGGCGGATTAGTTATCACAATTTTAAAAAAAAGTGTTTAAATTAAAAAAATATATATCTCCTTTCTTTAAAATCTCATAAAAATGCTTAAAATAATCTAACCTAATGGGTTTATATGAACCAGTGGAGGAGATACTAGGAAACACCATCACTAAGAACCCTAGAATTTCGACGTCAATGCATATTTTGGAAATCCAATAAATACATTTAATTCCGTATGGAATGTTCAAAACATGTCTTCCATTTTATTCGAAAAAACGAACTATTTTTGAATTATTATTTTTTAAAATTTAAAATAAGCCCGTAACTTAGTTTTGGAAAAAAGTTTGGAAAAAAGATGATTTTTGAGAATTTTCAAGAAAAAATCTATGCAAGATATAGTATCAGGAGCAAAAAGGTTTCATTGTATAAGTGTTCAGGTTACAATAGTAAATTTTGGATTCAAAATGGTAGTTGCATGTGATGGCAAGTAATGACACCTTTTATTCAAAGAGCTGTATGGCTGGAAAGGTTTCTTATTAACAGATGATCTTGGAACAAAAAAAAACATTTTCTGATATTATATATTAAAAGCTAGGGAAATTAAAAAATATTAATAATTCTTGATTTAGTGGATATTTTTCCCCTCACCTAAAATTATTTTCCTATATTCTTCACATATTAAAGCATTTTTTAAACCATTTATTGATTTTTTCAAAATTCTAGACTGGCTTTACCCTTTAATCCTTTAAAATAGGGTGAAAAATACCATAGCTAATAACATATTTTTTTAAATCCACCACTAAAGTTTGGCAGAGTTTTTTACCAACATCCTGTATAATAGAAATGGTTCTATATAACACTGACATAAAGCATATTTATTTAGCAAAAAACTGTTCAATTTGAGATGTATTTAATGTTGGATTAAAATATTTTGAAAAAATATATCATTGATTCATCACAATTTTCTTGTATATTCAAAAGCATATTCTCTATTTCAGTTTAAAATTTATTAAAAATATATTATTATTGCGTTCTTGTTTGTTTAAAAATATTTTGTGAGCAGGAACAATAAACGGTTATAAATTTTTTAATTGTTTTAACGTTAACATAAAAATTGTTCATAAAAATGTTTATAGATAAAACTTTCTGCTTCTAACTCAATATGCACATTAAATAAAGAAAATAAACAATATTTTATATTTTACAGTGAACCTTCTTCAACTACAAAGTTTTTATAAAATTTGCTTTTATAAATAAATAAAATGCGCTTTAAATGATGTTTTATATATTAATGAAAATGCAAATTATATATAAAGCAACATTTCGCTTAGCTTTGAGCTATTATTGCCAACATTTGATGTTAGTGAATAAAATCGAAGATTTTAAATAATCGAAACGATAAATCTATTGTTTGGTAAAACAATTAAATGCGTCTTATTTCATGAAACATCAAAAATATTGAATTCTCTCAATTCTTTTATTATATTTGGAAAATTGTAACCATTACTTTTACCAAATCGTAAGTAAAGTAATCCTAAAAGCAACTTACTCTTTTTTAAACGTTCGAATATTGGCAACAAATTGCTTATTTTCGGTAGCGAACACCTTCTAATGTACATTTTTCGTTTGTGACAGTATAACCAAGTATTGAACATACAAGATTTGCTAAGGCAAAATAGCATAGATAACGAAAACACTGTGTTCAGATGGAAACCCGTAACTAGACCGACGAGTGAGGGTTTTGACAAGGCAAGAGAACGTTGTAGTTCTTTATATGTGAACTAAATCATTAATTCTACTTACAGATTAAAGAAAGACAATGCTATTAACAGGAAATGATGTATAGATTACCCTCTCAATTGCTATTATATCATTAATAAAAAAATAAATTGCCAGTAAATAATTTTTTTGAGAAAAATACTGTAACAAAATTTCTTCAATGGATATCTGTTAAAAGTAAATAATACGCTGAATTTTATTTAGAGAGGTAATCTATATTAGTGAAGTCTTCTTTATCTTTCTCTGCATGATTTCAGTTGCTAAAAAATGTGACTAATTTTGAAAAAATGTGTTAAAACTGTTATAATATGCACATGAACGACAAATGGCAATGTTAAAAAGTTATAATAATGGAAAACTCTTGCGAAAATCCAAGTGAAAAATTTGTGAGTGGAATAATATCAAGCTGTTAAAAAATTATAAAGAAATTATCAACATTTTCATTTACTTCTTTAATATAAAGCTTTACAATAAAAGTATTATTTAAAACATCGTTTTCTATTATTTTAACTTTTTTTGGATTGTCATATGCAAGGTGAATAAAGGGATAATTTTTTATCAAGTAAAGTAGCCACAAAAGAAAACATATTTGAATGGTTTGTAATTACGTACTTGTATAAATGAACTTGGAGAGGATATTTGAAGAGTGTGTGATGTGAAAACTTGATTGGAATATATTTTACAAACAAAATACAGTACATGTTTTTTAATAAAAAATAAGAAACTGTCTACTGACTATTTACAGCTACCTAGCTCTGTTTCCAAATGTTACATAAATCGCTGTACATATAAATAGCAAAAAAAAATGATGAAGACCAAAAGTTTAGTATTTTCTTACGAAAATAAATGTTGCATTTGGGAGACATAAACCAAATTTTTTCTACAACCTTTAAAGAATCTTCTACAAGTTTCTAAACACCCTATATTAAAATAAATATTTTATCTTTTGTGGTTTCTCAGACTCTGATAATGGTCAAAACTTCACCTGACGTTTCGAAAACGAAACAAGCACTGTATATTGCTGTATATATTACTTTGCTGTATATATGTTCAGGATATAAGGGCATAGACAAATATTGTGCGAATGAAATCGGCAAAATCGAAATTATTTCAAGATTAATAGAATATTGTTAATCTTTGCTAATGTTTACTTTAACCGTAAGAAACTAAAAAAAAAACCTGTTCTCTATTTCTCTCACGATATTTTTCAATTTTGGGAAGTCACATAAGTTCTTTAAACGTGTTTCTTCCAGTACAAAATATGAATTGAGTATAAATTAATTCACAACTTTCTACAAACAGGAAAATTACTTTTCAACACAAACTACTCAAATGGATAGCGTTCGCGGCGTTCTGAAGACACACATTTCTACATATTCGTACATTATAAATGGCTCAAGAACTATTACAAAACATAGAGAAATAAATAGATCACATTTATTGCAGTTATTAAATAGGTACAATACCTCTTTGGTAAAGAAATATAATAGTAACTACCAACGTTTTTTTATTCTTCAAAAAATAGTATCTTGAGTTACTTATACTTGAAATACAACACTGAAAACGACTTGTATATATTTTAGATTGGAAACTAATACTATACGTATTGTTGTTTAGTAAGCACTTTGTTAGGTTGTGGTAGGTTCGAACAATTAATCCTCTAACAGCACGGACATGGAAGTTGTTAACTACAAACTAGATTTATATATGTGAAATATTTTTTTAGATAGAGAATAGTACTGAATCTACAACCGCACCACCGACGTTGACTACCGAAGCTGCTGATACCACTATGCCTGTAGTGGAAACCACGACATTTATGACTGTAACTCCAGCCGCGCCAACTACTTCAGCTCCACAGGTGGATACATTTGTACATACGCCCTTTTAGAATCTTCAAACTATTTTTTTGCAGAATCAACTAACTGAAGACAGACTACCACTTCCACTGTCCAATACGATCGTAGAAAGCACAACGGCTCAAGCTTCAACTCCACAAATTGTTACGCCGCTACCTACCACCGCTCAAACAACCACAACTACTACCCCTCGCTCTACAACCACAAGCACTCAAGCTCCAACAACAACAACAACAAACCGAGTGATATCAGCTTCACCAAGGATAACGTCAACTCCAGTTACTACAATTCTGTCTACCACTCAAAGAACTACTACGAGTACTTTCCCGACAGTTACATTCTTCCCCACGTTCCCAACGTTTATAACAACGTTCTTCCCTAATCTGTTAAGAGGAACTACCCAACAACCTGCCATTACAGTGAGTGAAATAATAACTGCCTCAGCGACTACATCGCAACCAACTACTGTAGTAGCACCTACGCGTGGAAGCGTTAGATTTATCGAAACGACAACTGGCGTGCCCACAACAACTTTTAGAAGAATTAAAACTACAACACCTCTACCTACAACAACAACTACAACACCAACTACCACAACAACTCCTACAACTACCACAACAACCACAACCACTACAGCCCCAACAACTACCACCACTACAACTACAACTACTCGTCCAACAACCACTACAACAACCCCTACAACTACAACAACGCCTACAACAACTACAACAATGCCTACAACAACTACAACAACGCCTACAACAACTACAACAACTACAACACCTACACCAACCACAACAACGCCTACAACAACTATAATAGCGCCTGCAACAATTACAACAATACCTACAACAACAACAACTACAACTACAACTGCGGCTCCAACTACCACTACAACTACAACAACTACCACCACAACAACACCTACAACTACATCTGTATCGACTACTCAAGAAGTAGTGTCCAGAAGAAGTGCCCCACTCTCAGCTGTCCCTCTTAGTGCTCCAGCTCCATCAAGTACTGTTACACCCAAATTAAAGCAGTTAACAGAACAGCAGAAAAAGGATTTGGAAACTCTGGCTCAGTTGGAAAAGGAGCAAGCAGCTCTGTTGCAGCAACTGTCATTCCTAACTAGCTTGGTAAGCAGCGTCATGTTATATTTGATTGTTAACAATAAATGGGTATATTTTTATACATTTTTTAGAATTTTGGAGGCAACAGGAATGGCCGCAATAAAGAGACCAGTAATTTAGCGAATAGGGTAAGTTCGTGTTGTAAGTTTTAAATAATTTGCATTGAATCATGAATAATTTTAGGTTATACAGCTGGCAGTAGATAGGGATAAAACAAAGGCAACAAAAGCACCAACAACAACTAGGACAACGACGACGAAGCCACCTCCACAGAATATCCAAGACCAACTACCACCAATCGTAGATGCTACTAGTAAAAAGTCTACACCTAGTATTGAGGACGTCCTCAAACAGTACAACTTGAGTGGTCTGAACATAGCTACTCCTGCTACCAGCACAGCTTCCACGTTACCGTATGGAAACACCAACGATGCTATATTGGCAGCGTTGCTGAAAGAACAGGGTATCAATCCACCAACCCCTAAGAGCTTGGCAGACCAAATAAAGCAAGCTGTAAGAGCAGTTTTGAATAATAATCCACGAATTTTAATTTGTTATGAATTCTAGGGTGTTTTCGAGGAAACAACGACAACGCGAAGGCCTAAGCCAAGAGTAACAACTCCACGTGCCCCAGGTCGACTGATGCAAGGACTGAATTGGCTGCTTAATGCTTTAGCACCACCCCCAGCGACTACAAGGAAACCAAAACCGAGACCAGCGAAACCAAAAAAACCTCCTGTAGAGCAAGAACTTTTAGCCAACTCGCCTACTCGTTTGACTCCTATGGTAACTTCCGCTCCAAAACCCTTTTCCCCAAATTCTCTCTCTCAAAGTGACGTCCAGAAGTTGATCAAACAGTTGGAAGCCGTGCAGAAAGATCCTAAAAACACTGCAGCTTTGGATTTTTCACAAATAAAGAGCTTGCAGAACCTCATCAATTCAAATGATGGAGTAGAGGTTGCTTCAAATGGTCAGCACGGCGCCACTTCAAGGGTGACTACTACAGAAAAAACGACCACTCGTAAACAGACAGCAAAATCTACGACAGTTATACCTGAGACTGTTAGCAATAGCGTGGATGAAGATGATGAAGATGAAGAGGTTACCACTGCAAGACAAAGACCAGCCTTACCTCCTCTTAGACTGAGACCTGTGGTAGGTGTCGACGACAATTCCGAACCGTTCATTAGAGGGAACTTGATTACAGCGGCAGTGAATGTTACGAGAGCAATTTCTGGATTCTTGGGAACAGCCTTGCAGGTATTATAATTTTTATTTTTATGTAATAGATTTAGAACTGACTGGCTTTTCTCCAAGTATCATCGAGGGTTATGGCTCCTTATCAAATCATTGATCACGAATCTAAGAAATTATGACCAGTTTATAAACCGATCAAAATAACTCATTTAGAAACAAAAAAAAAAAGAAAATTGTTACCTGGACTTTCATAAGTGGTAATGGTAAAAGGACTTATAATAAACGAAAAAAAAAATAAATAAATAAATGCGTGAGCAAGGGCGGCGGAGGGTTTATCTGGGGGGGTTGAAAAGTTATGAAAATTGTATCATTGGGATTTCTGGCGAAAGTTGACGTCAAACAAAAAAATATTCAATACAAAAGTTGTAGATCATGCAAAAATCTACAACTTTTGTAGAAGTCATTTTTTAACATAACCTGAAAATTTCCGAGAAAAATGCAAAAAACAGTTTTTTTTCTGATTTTTCGTTTTTATTTCTAATTTCCGCAAAAATAATTTAATTTTGACGAAATTTGGTGAAAGTATACCTTTCTCTATCTTAAATAATCTCAAATTTTTTTAGATAAAGAAATCAAGAAATATTAATTTTTTTCAACCGGAAACACTTTTTTTCAAAGAAAAATTCTACTTAAAAAAAACATCGTACAGAGTTCTGCCGGTAATCATTTTTTTCGTTTTGACTTACTTTTTGGTGAAATAAAAAAATCTGTAATAACAGTTCAAAAACATGCTCAAAAATACAAAAAAAATAAAATATGACTTGCAGCAATGAATTTTTCAGTGATTGTTGATAATTTGTTTAAATTTTAAAAAAATCAAAAACTGATTACACCATTCAATTGTACGGAAAAACTACATAAAAAACTGTCTCATTGCTTGACCCAAAACTATTTTTGTACAGTATTGCTATAAACATAAGTCGAATAGTGAATAAATAAAATAAATAATAATGTTTTTTCCGTAGGATCGATTAGTGTACTTATTTTTTTTTGTTTGATGAATTCATAGATATACAGTGTGTCCAAGATAAGGATGGGATAGCATTAATGTCTAGGAAACGGTAAGAGATACTGGGTGGCTCAGATTAGAAAAAAGTTGTGTTCTTTTATACCTAACAATATGCTGTTTAGAAAGTTTTAAAATTCCGGGTAGTTCCGTCGCTGTTATTTTTATGACAAAATCTAAAGTCATTTTTAATTCTGAATTAGAGGATATTACTATTGTAATCGCTTAAAAAGTTTTTAGCTTGTTTTAGCTATAATTTAAAATTTTTCCTGAGTACGGCTCTGAATGCTTTCAAAATATCTATTGGATGAAGTCATAACAGTATAAAAGTCAAAACCGCACAAAATATCCAACAATTTTTTACTACTGTTAGCAATACTAATTAGAAATAATAAAATATTTCATAAATTCGTATTATTTTTTTATTAGGTACAACTTTTTAAATTATGGATTAAAAAAAATTGTTGGATATTTTGTGCTGTATTGACTTTTATTCTCTTCCCCCCCCCTCTCTCTCTCTCTTCCCCCCCCCCTCTCTCTCTCTCTCCTCCAATAGATACAGGTATTTTGAAAGCGTTCAGAACCGTACTCAGGAAAAATTTTTAATGGTAGCTAAAAACCTTTTTAAGCGAAAACAATAGTAATATCATCTAATACAGAATAAAAAATGACTAAATTTTGTCAAAAAAATAGCAGCGATATATTTAAAAAAATTAATCTGATGATGGCTCCTCGAAGATGAAACGTCGGATTGCAAAAATGTTGACGCCATTATATAGAGCGAAAAAAGTGGCAATGTAAATATGCAATTTATTTAAAATTCGATTTCAAATAAAGCCAGAAAAAAATAAAATGATTTTGCAACATTTCGGGTTTTCGGATTTCGCGTCAACAGTAGACTTTGCAGTTAATAATTTGTATTGCTGAAATATCAAATCATCCAGAGATATCATTTGTGCAATTGTAATTCGACTTAGATGATTATAGCAATACGGTACAAAAATAAAGTTTTAGGTCAAACAATTATTAGACACAGTTTTTTTTATTTTTTTCCGTAGAAGTGAATGGTGTAATCGGTTATTGAATGTTTTTTAATTTAAGGTGGCCATATTCCCGGCCGAGAAATAGTGAAATTTCTCGCGTTTTTAGGTACTGAAATCTTTAAAAGTAAAACGTGTAGAACAAAAGTAAGCACTAAAATAAAATCCTTGATGTTTTGTTTATTCATTGTTACCATTTAAATTTACTCAAATAAAATAATAACTAAAAAAAAGCGTTTGTAAAACATGCGTTTGCTGTTATTCTAACCCCACATTTTAAGAATTATTTTCACGTACTTATAAATAAAAGTAAACAATTTTATATGTAGGACTAAGCAAGTAAATGTTATAAGAATATTTACATGTGGAATTATATATAAAAAAGTTAGTATTTTCGTAGATTTCAGTACCTAAAACCTTGATGGTTTGATCGTTTTTTGCACCTGTTTATTCGTTTTACTGCGGCGTCTTTGAAAATACTCAGGTGGCATGACATAACATTCCTATTATTTGATAAGCTTTAGATTATTCAGTTATTAAATGTTTGAAATTATTTGTCTTTGCGGAAAACACTATTTAAAGAATATGGGGCCCTTAAACAAATTATCAACAATAACTGAAAAATTCATTGTTGCAAGTCATTTTTTATTTTTTTCTGTATTTTTGAGCATGTTTTTGAACTGTTATTACAGATTTTTTTATTTCACCAAAAAGTAAGTCAAAACGAAAAAAATTATTACCGGCAGAACTATGTACGATGTTTTTTTTAAGTAGAATTTTTCTTTGAAAAAAAGTGTTTCAGGTCGAAAAAAATTAATATTTCTTGATTTCTTTATCTAAAAAAATTTGAGGTCATTTAAGACAGAGAAAGGTATACTTTCACCAAGTTTCGTCAAAATTAAATTACTTTTGCGGAAATGAGAAATAAAAACGAAAAATCAGAGAAATACCTGTTTTTCGCATTTTTCTCGGAAATTTTGAGGTTATGTTAAAAAGTGACCTCTACAAAAGTTGTAAATTTTTGCATGATCTATAACTTTTGTAGTAGATACTTTTTTGTTTGACGTCAACTTTCGCCAGAAATCCCAATGCTACAATTTTTCATAACTTTTCAACCCCCCAAATCAACCCTCCGCCGCTCCTGCTCACGCATTTATTTTTTTTATGTTTATTATAAGCCCTTTTACCATTTCCACTTATAAGAGTCCAGGTAACAATTTTTTTTTCTCCAAGTGTAATTTGGTTGGACTATTAAAGTAAATTTGAATTTTGAATAATTTTCTAGAAAAAGTAAGTTTATTTTATTTAGTCACGACACGACAAACATTATCATTTTTCTTTTGAAGATCTTCGTCATCCTCGTTGATTTTTTAAATATTCTGTACCAGTGAAATTGAAGTTTCCTCTTAGACATGAAATGTGGTGAATTATTTATCCCGATTGTTATTTTTACTGATTTGAATGTGGTCAGCCTTGTACTTTTAACTTAATTCATGCATTTCCTGTGGTTACCTGCCCGTTAGCAAGTCCGCAAGTTGTTAATGGGTAATAAAAACAAAAGTGACAAAGCCGGAGGAAGACAAATATTGTACGAGTTTTCCCATGGGGGCAAAAACACACACACAGCTAGTTCTGGGATTCACTACAATAGCCATTTGTTACGAATTAGTTAAACACTGTTTACGTAATGCACACATTTTGCTCTCATATATTATAATAAAAATTGTAAGCGCTTGGTCGCCCAAGCGTCATCGCAAAAAAAACTTAAATAGTGCTTTAGCCGACTGACTGGTTCTGCTGAATCACTGTTTGTTTCAAACACTTCAGTAGTCATGAAAGTATCAATAATTTTTATAGAAATACAAAATTTTTTTGCATGTAATTTGAATAAACATCAAATATAGTCACGTAAACCCTTGGAGAAAAGTTGATAGATCAAATAATTACAGATGTAACCAGTTTTTTCACGATTTTTTTCTAGGATGCGGCTTACCAGGTCACACATATGTTGTCTAATGGATCTGAAAATTTCAGAAATCTTTTAATCAGTAACCCTACAACAAATGGTGCTAGTACCAATATTAGCACTCCTCCCTGCACCACTTAAGTGTCAAAATTACGTGAGGGGGAATAAAATAGTTACTTAACAATGGTAAATTTGGCATGAACCAAAGCTAAAACTACTTCTTCTATTAAAAGCCTTATCTATACAATTTTAATCATAATTTTTAATATGGTTCTATCCTTACATGAAAACGCCACTTATAACTGGCTGGAAATGATCATTTTTTCATATTAAACAGTTCTAACCATCATTTTTGTTCAAAAAGTGCCACCTATAACTGGCTGAATTCCATTTCTATTTTTTTGCAGGCGGTTACAAGGAGATTAATATTTATATAGGTGCATGAAAATGAATGTTTTTCAGCTTTTATTTCCCATTTACAGGACAAATGGAGGAAATATTTAATTTCACCAAAAATATTAAAGTCACCATTTCATTTATCGCAAAAGAGTTTAATGAGAAATTTATTTCAAAGATATCGACCTTTTTATAAAATAATTTAAAACAAAACAATGCGTTCTCTTATTGAATTTAAGTAACTGTTAATAAAATAAAATAAAGGTGATAGATATGTTAAACTATACATACAGGGTGAGTCATTAATAATGCTACACAACTTACTGGCAGATTGTTAACGTCAAAATGTAGCGATTGAGCCAAACATGCCTTAATCAATTGTTGCTCATTTTCGTTCTACAGGGTGTTAAAGTTGAAAAAATATTTTCTTTTTTTATCTATATTTTAAGTATGTGTGGACCGATTGTTTTGAAAATTTGTAGTTTTACGTTTTTTGAGGTGGCAAATACGAATATGCAAATAGTGTTGGGTCACGTCTAGGGGGCGCTAGTTGTACTGTCCTGTCAATGTAAAAATATGTCTAACTTTTTATATTTCACAATTTTGAATTTTTTAACTACGTTCAATTCCAAATAAAAAAGGTATACTTGTTACAAATCGATAAACTCAACTGTTTTCGAGATACAGACATTTTAAGTTTTTGAGATTCGACGGGAATTAAATTAGAAAATTATTTTTTCCAAAGTAGTAGGCATGGACATAATAAATTGACAGCTGTCACTACAATACCATATTGTTTTCTACTCAATTTGATTAAGAAGTAGTTTTTTCCTTGTCGTTATTTTTTAGAGAAGAGAATATCTTAATAAAAGGCTAAGAAAGTGCATTGAAGTTGCTGGTAGTTAATAATTTGTTAAGATATGCATAATAAAATCTTTAATTGCTGTAATGTTTGTCTTAATTCTTAATTCAGGCTTGGTATCTTAAGACCTGCTAATTTTCTAATTTAATTCCCGCCGAATCTCAAAAACTTAAAACGTCTGTATCTCGAAAACGGTTTAGTTTATCGATTTGTAACTAATACACCTGTTTTATTTAGAATTGAACGTAGTTCAATAATTTGTAGTTAAAAAATTCAAAATAGCAAAATACAAAAAGTTAGACATATTTTTACATTGATAGGACAGTATAACTAGCGCCCTCTAGACGTAACCCCAACACTGTTTGCATATTCGTATTTGCCTCCTCAAAAAACGTAAAACTACAAATTTTCAAAACAATCGGTCCATACATACTTAAAATATAGATAAAAGAGGAATATATTTTTTCAACTTTAACACCCTGCAGAACGAAAAGGAGCAATAATTGATTAAGGCATGTTTGGCACTATATTTTGACGTGAACAATATGCCATTAAGCTGTGTACCATTATTAATGACTCACCCTGTATAGAACCACATCTTTATAAATAAATTTTTCATCAGTACTGAATTTTGTCTATCATGTCTTTCTGTTGATTTAATCACAAAGGTTCAATACACAAGGTGTAGCATTTATAGTGAATATAAATTGAAATATAGTTTTCCAAAAATGTACCTTTGAATAGAGGTAATTTTGTCCTTTGTCCGTGGATTGTTTCTAGATTGCGATAAGTTTGCACACTTTTTGGTCCTTTCTTTTACTAGTATTCTGATATCATAATTACGCTATAACAATTACATAGTTTTTCTTGATTCCACCATAAGGGACGTGGGTTTTTAATTTTAATCATTATAAACGCCACAACCTGTACCTAATTTTCAAATAATGCTTATGATAGAAATGTTGACTCTGTTAAAATACTTTAACTTTAAGGCAACTAATAATCATTATAGTCGTTTTGATTGGCACACTGACTTTCTAATATCATATTCGTTTATTTACCCACTTAAATATTTTCAGGGCGCGGCCCAAGGTTTCCAAAACCTGCTAGGTTCTGGTTCAAGATTGGCGCAGGCTTCATCGTCAAGACCGGGATGAAGGACTTAGCAGTGTCTTAACTTTACTTATTTATTAAACTAAATTCTTTTGTTAAAATCTAGTCATGGGCGTCTTGATATGACAGATTGGTTTCGATGAGGTTAATTTTAAATTTTACGGAATTTTTGCCCACCGTGGACGCCTATGTTACTAGATGCGAAATGCGTGGGTTCATATCGACTGTGCGTCTTGATATAACTTGATGCATTGAAACTAACTTTTAATTAAATGGTTGTTCGTTGGATGTTTTGGACTTGTGATAATTCGAACATTCCTATTTTTTATTTTATATTTTTGTTTTAGTTGTAGTTAATTGTTTACCAGCTGATGTAAAAATACTCATCCTTACTCTATTTTCCTAGTGTTAAATTTGTAATTGTACGCTTTGTATATATCTTTTGTAAATTATGGTTTTACATTTTACTACTGTAGGTATACTGTAAATAAATTGTCGGTAATAAATGGTTCATTTGTTTCTGTATGTTTTTATTTCCGAAATCAGATGTTTCGAACATCCTTTAATAGTTTCATATCAAAAAATACTTTTCCAGACTTTAATGGAATATGCACAAATTATGTAGTTGAAAAGACAGTCGAGCAAAACCATTTAAATAATATTTTTCGTTTTTGGATAATGTGACAACTTAAATTATTGCAATTATTATTAAAAAAAATATATATCGCCGCGCCTACTTATTTATTCTCCCTAGAAGAATGCGTCCTTTCTCAATTATAATTTTATATAGCCTTTAATGAATTCTTTACTAAATTTCAATTAAATCGCTGTTGTTGTTTCCTCGTAATTAAAAAATACACCATATTCTCGAATTTTACATTTATCTCGAAAATTAAGGACTTTCGAACACTGTTTTTCTTAATTTATGATGTGGGACCGGCTTGACCAAATATTTTAATTACATCCTGTATAGTTATACTTCTACACAATAATCGTCATTTTTGGACAGACGTTAAGATTTAAAGTTATTTTATTTTCCATATTATTTACCAATGTATCACATGCAAAATAATTTCAATACTTGGATATAATTAAGCAGTTTCCAAACTTTTAAATGCACGATATGTCCAGAAAACCCAAAATAAGAACACTCTATGTTCATCTGTGACTGCAAATATTTTTGGAACGCCTGAAATGACATAAGTGACTTTCTCTGGATATAGTTCTAGGTATATTATACAAGGAAGGTAAATTAATTTACTTTGTCACCTTAAAATCTATCAAGAAATATAAATATGGATGTTTATCTGGAAAACGACAAAAACAGTTCAGTTAAAGTAAAAATAGATAAAATGTTTATATTCTCTTTTTTTTGAGATAGCTACACATATTTTTATACGTACGTCTATACAGGGTGATTCACAACTTATCCAAAAAAATTTGGGAATAGATGCGGCATGAGAAATGGAGTCAATATTGTAAAAAAAAAATTTGTAAAATCCTTATAGTTTCTGAGAAAAAAATTATTGAAGTTATAGCATATTAAACCACTACATAGCTGGACAACTGTAGTCTCTAGCGTCGTTCGCAATACGCGTGGAGAGCCATGTGACTCCTAATACTGAAATCCGTCGTTGCGGTAGTTTTTACCTGTTATCTGTGGTATTTACATCAGTTTTTTAGTAGTTAGTGTCAAAAATGGCTTGCGTGTATAGCAACTCAGAGTTGATGGATATCGTTTTAATTTATGGTGAAGCAAGACAACATTTGTATTATGGTGAAGTATTTGTGTTATGGTGAAGCAAGACATCATTTGTGTTAGTTCGTAGAAAGTGAGTAAGACGGACCCAAATGTGTTTACACGTGAGTGGATAAAATTTTGAACAATTGCTGTTGCAGCATCGGGTATGTCAAATGATTTTATTATTTAAAAACACAAATTAATTTTATTAATTAATAACGGCAAAAGCAGTTGAATTTGCCGATATAAAATAGGTGCGATAAAATTCTATTTACATATTTCTTTCCTTGCGAAAGTTTTTGTCCGTTTTTATCACACCGCCATGACGGTCGCATTGTGCTAGGTCAGGTTTTACACTGGACCAGTTTCCAGTGCCGTGCAGAAGTGTATTTTTAAATCAATTTCGAACTGACCTTTTTGATTTTTTCTTTACAAAATTGTATTTGTAAGGGTCCCCTGTTCATCCAGATTTTTTTTTGGATAAGTTCTGAATCGCCCTGTATATTGTCTATATATTACAACCGGAAGTACAACATTTCTGGAAAAATTGTTTACAGAAAAAATTGTCCTTTTTCCAAGAAATTGAAAAAAAAATTTAACTTTTCTTAAAACCGCATATTTAAAATAACATGTGGTTTTCTCTGGACATAGTTCCAGGTATATTATCCAATTAATATAAATTATTTTACGTTGTCATCATAAAATCTATAAAAAAGTATACATAATGTATGCTTAAACTGGAAAATGATAAAAATGAATGCAAAAATAGACGCCGAGTATGGAAATCGAAATATTTTATATTTTTAATTATTTTCAGATAGTTATATATTCTTTTTTATATCCATGTACAATCAGAGATCCAAAATGTCCAGAAAAATTGGGTGTCAGAGAAAAACAGTATTTTTTCCAAATGGAAAAATTTAACTTTTCTTAAAACCTATATATGCCACCATGTTTGGTCAATAAAAATAATATATTATAAAAAAACAATTTTTACCCATTATTTTAATAAAAAATCATTAAATCATTTCATCGATCAGAATGACCTTCAACATGTTGCTCTATAGGCAGAAGCAAGTGCATTTTCAAAAAACTATTTTTTTCTGAAATTGGTTTTTTAATTTACTTTTATGTTGAAATTTGGTTAAAAACACATTAAATGTGATTTTTTTTTGTTATAGAGGATTAAAATTTTATTACGTTTCTTGTTCAATGAAAATTAATAAAATTTTATTTACTTTTTTGTTATTTCAAATCAAATACTGTATTTTATTGATTTGTCGTTGAACTATACTATTTTGAGATTTACCGGCATCCCCATCCCAATTATAAAATTTTTTAAAAGTTTTTCATACCCATTGAGCTTTTTTGCAGCAAAAATGTTCTAATAAATGATTTGATGTTTCCTCTTTTGAACTAAGTACCTACTTAATCGGAAGAAATGGATAAAAATAGTTATTTTTCATCTTTATCTGAATTATGAAATCTTTAATTACAATGGACCCAACTACGAATTAAAAAAAAGATCCGGAAACGAAATAGACATTATTACTATTGACCAGAATTCTAATAATAAAGGAAAACCAGATAATAAAACTGTAGCAGTTATATCTTGATTTATGATATTTAAGTTAGATCGTATAATAACGTGTAGCATGATGTTAAATTACTATTAAGTATAATTGAAACACATTAATTTTCAACTTAAGAAAATATGGATTTCCTCGTTTTTCCAAGAAAAAAATATCAGTATAGTCAAATATAATTCCTGAAGATGTATAAGAAATTGAATGTTAATGTGGTTTAATGGTAGAAAAATAACGCTAATACAGCTATTGTTCAGTTCTGTGTATAATACTAAATGGTTTTGTTACGTAGTTGTTGTATTTCACTTTTTTATAATTATTTCTGGAATTACCTTCTTAAAACTGTTAATTCTTAACCATCCTTTTTTATCAAAAGTTGTTGGCACTTACCTACATACGGTTTTGTATTGAAGCAAACAGAATGTTTGTGAGGAATTTATACATATTGAATACATCCTGTGTATTCAAAAATTAAAAGACTAAGGCTATGCCCAAATTCGTAAAACTAGTATACTTGGGATTATATAAGTAGAATAGAAAATAGAATGAAATAGACTAATTATAATATCAGAATAAAAATACAAGCAATTCGTTGAGTACATACATTCCATCGCAAAGGTATTTCCCGTATTGCAATGTACAAGGTGACTCATATGAATTAATAGGAAATTTTCTCTTTGAAAATTTAGCTGTTACAATGATAGTTGCAAAACATCGTTTTAGTAAAAAGTTAAGAGCAATGGTGAGCAATAGTGAAAATAAATTAAATGATTTTTTCTAACACGGCTGAAAAAATTTGTCGAAATTGGATGACTGAAAAATAAATGTCTAAATTTGCCAGTGGAATACTTAAAGGTCTCTGCACAAATATTTGATGCATTGTTGCCAATGCTACTTAAATTCAGGAATTTCTCAGGATATTTTTTAGGATATGAGGGGTTGTCAATCGCGAAAAGAAATTAAAATTAAGTGAACAAAAAGTATCAGTGAAAGGTTATTTTATGAAATTGGATTTATCTAGTCAAAAATCTCACACGAAGGAAAAATAAATAAATAAAACTAAAGGTAAATTAACGAAAAAACAATCTCTTTCTGTTCCCCAAACTAGAAAGACGTTTCTGTATTATTTTCCTTTGGTAAAATATTGGTGGAACCCCATTGCATTGTATTCGCAAAATGCAATTTTTGTGTTCTTCTATATAAACAATTTTGAAAATGTCCTATCAAATGAAGTCAAACACTATTCATCCATACCATAAATCTAGGCAAGTAAAAGATATCTAAGCTTATAGATTTCTAATTGTTAATATTGTGGGAAACAACTTCTCAATGAAACCCCTCTTCCCATATGTAAGAATGATAAATATAATAAGCAACAAAAACACAATATATTATTTAAATCATTTCATAATATGTCAGGTATAATTCAATGCTAGTGGAGACACGTAACCCATAGAGCAGTTGTTTCCCGTAATTTTTGTTATCGAAGAACATGGTATAACTTGATTAATACGATTTTTAGAAAAAAAATTAAATTTGTTTGACAACGTATGCTATAAATGCAATTTTTTGAATTTTGACTATAATTGTTTGGACGTGTTTTTGACAGAGTCCGTAAAGTCCGTAAAGAAAAACAATTGTAATGTTTAATTTGTTACCTATTCTGATTTTTCTGATAATACTTACAGAAGTTACTAAAATTAAATAATTAGGTTTTCAAGAATATTGAAAATAAAAGAAATTCTATAAAACATCAAAAATAAATTGCTTAGATAATGACAATTCCATGTATCACAACTCAGATAGTATTACGAGAAAATTTAAAAAGAGTTGGTAACAAATTTAACATAGTTTTTCAAGCAACTAATACTTTACGGGGATTCTTGCCAAAAATACGTCCAAATAATATTAAAAAATTGCATTTATATCATGGCTTGTGAATACAATAAACACTGCATTGGAAAGACCTCTCGACCTGTAAATATTGAGAAACTTACATGAAAAATGACAAACTGAGAAAGAGAATATTTGATTGGGAAATAAGTGCTGCCAAGATTGTAGAGAAGGAAAATAATATGGTTAAATTATAAGGGACCGAAATTATTTTATTAAGCGGTGAAAGATGTGTATCAAATTACTCCTTCAACTTGGATCTTTTTTTGGATACTATAAGAAGTAAATAATAATAGAAT